GCCTACAGCACCACACCAAGACTCTGAAGATGTATTAGCGATGGGAATTTTGGAAACTCCAAAGATCTGTTTGGTTGTGGCAAATTGCAGGCTGCATATTTTCTACTTCCTTTGTTTCTTCTTTACAAATCTTTTTAGGTATAGGTTAAAAACTAATGGTCAGGGGTTGAACCTGGGTGCTAAAACTCTTGGTAATTACCCTCTATTTTCTTATCTTGACTCTTCATGAAATGAATTTCTTTCTTTCTCTGCTGACTTTAGATTTGTTAGTTGTGGTGTTGGTTCCCATTCATAGAGAACTCCTATAGGTTTCCCAAGGCCATTAATCTTTATGGGAGCAGAAATCCTCATCTTTCTCACATAGAAGGGCTGGTAGTTTTGAACAGCTGACCTTGAGTTTAGCAGCCCAACTTGTAACCACTATGTTACCAGAGGTCCTGCTTAAATCTGTCTCTTATATCTGATATGGAGAATTCATTTAGGCGTAGGAATTCTATTTTTTTCCATTGCTTTTGAGTGAATTTTTATATATGGCAGCCCCATATATGCAGAGTAGAATTGTGTTCCGTAGGGTTTTCAAGGTTGTGGCCTCACCAGAATTGCCTCTAAGGCATCTCTGGGTAGGTTTGAACTGCCAAACTTTTGTTTAATATTGAGCACTTAAAGAAAGTTTGCCTTTAGGTATTTAATATAATGTCTGGCATATAGTACTTCCCACACTTTTCTCATGTAACATGTTCATGAAAATAATGCATATATGTACATAACGCACATAATATGCATAAGTACTAATATCTTGGGGTTTTTTAAAGTTTTAATTGTGAATTGAGTGAAAGTTACAGGGCCGATTATCAGTTTTACACTCAACAAATCATATACATTGTTTCATTACAATGATTATAATCCCCTCTAGGTACCATCAGTTAACAGTATTTCTCTCTATTCATTTTAGCTCTTTTTTGCATAGTTTCTAAAAACTTTATTTATGTAAAAACTATGTCCTCAATAAATTGTAGCATAGCATAGTATCACTTTACAATTTCTCTTGCCTCTCTCTTTTTTTTTTTTTTGCATTTAAGAAGTGCTCATATTATATTGCTCTCAGCAGTTCGAAACTACGAGCTGTTCCGTGGGAGAAAGATGAGGCTTTCTGCTCCCGAGAAGATTTACAGCCTCGGAAACTCTGTACAGGGTCGCTATGAGTCGGAACCAACTCCACAGCACATAACAACAACAACAAGACTTCTGATGATGTGTTGATTTTATGCACGTCCATATTATATATATATAAGATTATCTGGAAATGCTTATATTTACATAGAATAGTAAAATTGATTGAATTACGAAGGTTAATTTTTTTTTTTTTGGTCAACATTAACTTTAGAGAAGCCAATTATTGATCAGATTTAGACAGTAGAATAAAGGTCACATTGTATCGACATCTGACCTGGTGTGCTGCTCCTCAGAAACTCTATACAGGCTCCCTATGAGTTGAAATAGATTCAATGGCACTTAATAATAGAAACAACACCACCATAGGGAAAAGAACCACCATAATTGTTTTTGTTATTAGGTGTTGCTCAGTCAGTTCCAACTCATAACAATCTTAAGTACAACAGAATAAAATGTTGAATGCATAAACGATGCTGACAATGCAAGGCTTGCATCCCATGCTGAATTCAATAAATGTGATGAGATGCCTACTCCTGTACCAGTCTCACAATTGTTGCTATATTTGAGCCCGTTGTTACAGTCACTGGGGGTCTTGATAGGATTTTCCTTTTTCTTTTCAATGTCCCAAGGGCTGGGCGCTCCTGATAACATATCCAAAGAACAAGTAGGCTCCTCACTCTTGCTTCTAAAGAATATTCATTTTGTACTTATTTCAACACAGATTTGTTCATTATTCTGGTGGTTGCAGTAGTGGTTGTGTGACACCAAGTCAGTTATGACTCACAGTAGCCCTGCATAGGGTTTCTGAAGCTTTAAATCTTTACAGAAGCAGGAAGTTTCATCCTTCTCATACGGAACTTCAGACCTTGTGGTTAGCTCCCCAGCTCTTGACACACTGTGCTGCCAGCAATCCTTTTTCTGTGACAAGTCATAGTCTATTCAATATTCTTCACCAAAACCAATATAAAGGCATTGATTATTCTTCCGTCTTTCTTTTCACTATCCAGCTTTCTTGTGCATATAAAGCAAATGAAAATACCAAGGTTTGGGCCAGACTCCCTTAGTCCTCAAAGTGATCTCTTTGCTCTTTTAGCACTTTCAAGAGGTCTTTTGCAGTAGATTTGTCATTTGATTTCTTGACAGCTGCTTCCATGGGTGTTGATAGTGGACCCAAGTAAAATAAAATCCTTGACAACTTAAGTATTTACTTTTTATCATTGTTAGGGTAAGTTAATAGGAGGAAAACTACTGAAGAAAATTACTGGAGCAGCAGAAAAGTGGCATTGGGAAAAGATCGATATAATCAGAAACTAAACTTCTAAATAGTAAGAACAGAGAAGCAGGGTGTGGATAAGAGATAGTATCTGTTTCCTTGTTAGGCAGTCAGGATATTAACAAGATAAAAAATTATGCCCTTGTGTGTACGGAACACATCTGGGCTTACTAGCCCACTCTTCCTATTCAACAACCCAGAGGAGGTTTTTAACCATGAGCTACATATTATCCTCCCCCTTGACCAGTTTTCCCTGGAGTTAGAAAACCTAAAGGAAAGAACATGCTCAGCATTCTCAAGCTGAGGGAACTGAAGAAACAATTCAAGCCTTGCCTTGTGGTATTGAAGAATTCTATGGGCAAAATATTAAATGATGCAGAAAGCATCAAAAGTTGGAAAGAATACTGAGTCACTGTAACAAGAAGAAAGGATTGATGTTCTACCATTTCAATAGGTAACGTGATCAAGAGCCAATGATTTTAAAGAAAGAAGTGCATTGAAGGCATTGGCAAAAAGCAAGGCACTGGGAATACATGTAATACAAATTGAAATCTATCAACAAAGTGATGCAGCACTGCAGGGTCTCACTCATTTTTGCCAAGAAATTTGAAGGCAACTACCTGGCCAACTGACTGGAAGTGGATTGTTCACAGTAAAATCACACAAAAAGGAAACAAATTTAAAGTAATAGTAAGAGCCATTAAAGAGACCATATTATCCCCAAATATAATCACTTTCTTAATAACTGAGTAGAAAATGTTGACTTTAAAATTCTAGTTTATAAATATGGCTACCTTTATCTATTATCTTTATTATTCAAAATCTAAGAATCTAATTATACTTAAAACGTATAATGCAAATTAAACAAAGTTGAGACTGTAAAAATGTCATAGATATACATTCAAATACATTATCCTCTGCTAAGTCTCACCCCATCTCTCTTAATACATTCTTAAACAAGTTATTGAGTCACCTAGGTTAAAATATAGAAACATACATGCCGAAAAATAATTATTCAATGCTTTATCAACCTTATAGAGGAGTAAGTAACTTTTCTTATCCTTATTTCCTTTATGCTTTTTTAGGAGGAGATGCCAGAAAATAGTTGATATAGAAAGGCCATGTAATTGCTTCGTTTTCTTTCACGACTTGTCTTAGTCCCTGAGAATATAATTATTCCATCAGGAAAAAAGAATTCTTGAGAGCTAATACACTTAGCTGTTCTTTGAAAGATGGGTCATTTGATTCTACCCAGAAATGCCTTAGAAGAAAGATTGGTGACCTATTTCCAAAATATCAGTCATTGAAAACCCTATAGGACTCTCTTACACATGTTGGATCATTATGAGTTGTAATCAATTCAACTAGCAACTAGAAAAACTAGGGATGATATATTTCATGCCTAAAAGTTTGAACCACCCACTTTGCAGTTCAAACCAATTTTGTGGTCCAGTGCTTATCCTACAGTGCCTTGTCAGGATTCCAAAATAGAATTGCCCCCTAGGGTTTCCAAGGCTGAATCCTTATGGAAGCCAATTGCCACATCATTTTCCCAAACCCGGCAACCTACCAGCCACTCCTTTAAAATTCTATACAGGGCGGCTATGAGTCAGAATCTACTCAACAGAACTTAACACCACCACCATCACCACCAATAACAAGGAAAAACATAGAAGGGAATCTTCTTCTCTTCAGTGCCACAGAACAGAGACTATGAGTGAGCAACTGCTATTGATTAGTTCCCTCCATACACAGGCATGCAGGCTGTGTTATCACGTTTCAATAATCCACTTCTTCCTCTTTCTTTTCATCTGCCTTTCTGATCATTCTATTCCCTACTGAATCTTAATGAAATTCAAATATTACAGGTTTCATTGTTTGTTTTTAATTTTTTAAAAGTAATTTATTGTGATAAAAATACACATAACTTTTTTGCCATTTTAACCATTTTAAAGTGTGACAGTGCACATTATAATGACATGAAGTGTATTGTTTGTTGAATGTGTGACTCAATTCACAATAGACCATTTAAAACATGGAATGTACAATTCAGCAACATCAATTGCCTTCACCATGTTGTGCAATTGTCACCACTATCTATTTCCACAAGTTTGCATCATTCCAAGCAGAAACACAGTACCTGTTGCCTTTATATTTCCTGTTTATATCATCTCTCTAGTTAAACTCATTTAAAAAACAAAATAACAACTCAACACAAAATTCTCTCTTCTTATTGTTCCTGTCTACACCCATTTATTTAGAAAATTTCTGCCTACTGTTGTTGCTGTTATGAGCAGTTGAATAGTTTCAGACCCACTGTTGTTGTTATTAGGTGCCATCGAGTCGGTACTGACTCATAGCAACCCTATGCACAGCAGAACAAAACACTGCCCATAGCAACCCTGTGTAAGGGTTTCCGAGGAGCAGGTGGTGAGCTTGAACCGCCGATCTTGCAGTCCAGCACATTAACCCACAGCGCCACAACAGGACTCCAGAGAATGCCTACAGTTTATTAAAAAAACAAAACAAAACAAGATTTTTTTTTTTGCATTACCTTGTCCAAAGTAAGCTCCCTTATGCACACTTAGAACTCCTCGGTATCCCAGACTCTTACAGACTACCAATCCATTGCGTATTTCCCAGTGGTCATCACAAATTGTGCCCCACTGGCCATTGTGGAAAATCTCCACTCTACCCTCATGGGGTATGCTTCCTCCTACCAGTCGGACCATGTTAGCTGGAGCTGTAACACAAACAATTAAACAACCGTTAATGATTTACATATTGTGTTATAAAGCTTTCTCTTTTTTTGAAAAAAGACATTATAACCCATTTTTCCAATAAGGTCTACTATTGGAAGAAATATAAAACTTTCTAGCACCATCTATTGGTCAATAGTTTAAGTGCAAAAAATTGCATTAGTAAAAGTTGATGTTTTAGCATTTAAATAAATTATATATAAAAACACTTTATGTTCTAGGACTTTAAAATTCAAGGATTGCTAGTTTATTGTTATATCGATTTTGCACACTATTCAGAAAAAATATATAAATTATTCCTGTTTTCTTAGCACATGAATACACAAAAGTAATTTTCAGTAGTATTGCTGTTGTTAATTACCATCCAGTGGATACCACGCCAGCTCAGTGTAGGGTTTCCAAGGAGCAGCTGGTGGGATTGAACCACTGACCTCATGGTTAGCTTAACTAGTGCTTATTTTACAGCGTCACACCAGGATTCCTTCCATGGTATAGAAGATATTTTATAAATATCATAAACACAAAAAGTAGATGGCCAGAACTGATATTTTTTACCATTACATGCTAATTGTATCACTTATAGTGTGGCGCTATAGGATCAGCACTGGACTGCAAATCCCAAGGTCAGCGGTTCATACCCCAGCAACTCTTCGAAAATTCTACATATGGACTTTATGAGTAGGAACAACTCAACTGCACTTAACAGCAACAATAAATATTCATTTAGACATAACAAGAATATTCCTTGATATGAGAAATCTGGAGATAGTTTTGTTTTTGTTTTTTTGAAACATAACTAATAAGATAAAATCAGACAAATTTTGGATATTTTGAGAAATTACTAAAATAGTAAACTTGACAAAAGAGAGCTCTGGTAGGGTAGTGGTTATGAATCGAGCTGCGGACCTTAAGGTCAGCGGTTCGAAACTACCAGCTGCTCCGCGGGAGAAAGATGAGGCTTTCTACTCCCGTAAAGATTTACACACTCGGAAACCCTGTACAGGGTCGCTATGGGTCGGGACCGACTCGACGGCACTTAACAACAACAACAACATCATTGCAAAGGAGTCCTGGTGTGGCGCTGTGAGATAATGCACTGGACAGCAAGGTCAGTTTGAACTACAAGGTCGGAGGTTCAAATTCACGAGACAGTCCTTGGAAACCCAATACAGGGTTACTCTGAGTCAGAGCTGACTGCATTGCACTTACAATAACAGCAACACCATTGCAAAATTAAGTTTGTTCTGCACTATCTAATTGATCAAAATTGCCATATATGTGGATAAATGATAAAATTTATATCACAATAAAGATTTATATAAATATGAAATGGCTTCTTGTTATTTTTAATAGTGTTTTGAACCTAGCTACAGGTACATAGACGTGTGTGATTAATACTATGATACAAATTCACCTAGAATGTAAACATTTCTTCAAACCATTTGTAGTAGTCTAGTATTTGTTTAAAAATATTTAGTTAAGAATGAAGAACAGAGACAAAATATTAAAAAAACACACAATATTTTGTAATGATCCTAAAGCCAGTGATTTACTTCTATTTAAATGCATCCTTTCAAATATAATTTTGAGGAATACTATATTACAAAAACCAAAAGTAATTGTCACAACAAAAATATCTAATATGAAAATGGATTTTTCTTCTGAGTTTCAGAACTCAATACTCAGTAGCATTTTTTTCCCCTAATTTGAGTAAAATCAGTTGAAAAGTCAGGAATCCTGTAACATGTGAAAACAAAGAGACAATTTCTTATCACAAAACTGAGTTACTCAGAAATGTAAAAAAAAAATCTAGCATGTTAACATATATAAAATTACTATTATAATTTTTAAAATTTTCCAAAAATACAATTCAGTGCTAAATACTAAAATAATGTGATCATACTCAAGTGCATAAACCTTAGCATACCTAATGAACATCAGTTGAAAATATGTTTAAGAAGGAAAGTGATTTGCTAATACAGTATTTAAACTTTTAATTAATATGTAAAATACCTAGGTGACCCAATCATTCACTATAATTGTATAAAGAAATGAGAAATAACATTGTATCAAGCAAGAATATTTTGTGCAAAAAATATTTTAGATGTTAGAATTCAGTTGTATTAACTAACACCATGCCCAAATGCTGGATTTTATAAGGTTAAATATCCAAGCACAATATATTCATCATACATACTATGAAAAAACAAGAACATTCAGCATTCGGTTACCTGAGCCTGGCTGTCTTATTGCCCAGACAAGAGTATGTAAGCATTCTCACTGTGCATTATTTCCCTTTAACCCCTCAAAAAACAAATCAATTACAGTGGAGTCAATTTCAACTCAAAGCAACCCTATAGAACAGAGTATAACTGTCCCATAGAATTACCAAGACTGTAATCTTCATACAAGTGTACTGCCACATCTCTATCCAATGAAGTTGGGTTTGAACCACTGGCCTTTCCATTAGCAACCAAGCTCTTACCCACTACATCATCATCAGACTTCTCTTAAACCCTGTCAGAAAGACATTAATGAGTTTTACTTCTCCTGCAGCTGTGCTTCTCAAATTTTAGCATGCATTAGAATCACAGATTGCTCTTCTTCACAGTTTCTGATTCAGTAGGTCTTGAGTGGGGCCCAAGAATTTTCAATTTAACAAGTTCCCAGGTAATAATAATGCTGTTGATGCAGGGACCACATAGATATATTTGGGCATGCCTATGCAAACCCGTCAACAGCCAACTTTTTCTATTATAAATCAATTGTTGTCAGGTGAGTACATTTTGCTGCTCCTTGACCATCTCTGTCAGGGACTGCAGCACACCATTGCATTGCTTTGTTTTGGTGATGATAAAATAGAAAATTATTTCTATTAATGTTACTAATTTGCACAGCCTCAATCATAGCATTTTCTTTATGAGATCATCATCATAATGACCATGTGGGTATTGGGACCACATTTTGAGAAACAGTTTTTTCTTTGAATTTAGTCAATCGATTGCTACATGAATGTAAAAGATGTCCTCTCTCTATATATCTATGAAGTCTTGGTGTGGCTCTGTGGGCTAATGTACTGGACTTCAAAGTTAGTTTGAACCACAAGGTCAGTGGTTCAAGATCACCAGCTGTTCCTTGGATCACTATGG